GTGCTTCTGTGAGTAGGGACAAGAAGGTTGCCAGGCCCCACAGCACTCAGGACAGCCCCCACCACAAAAAGGCTCCTGACCTAAGTGTCAGCGGTGCCACGGGTCAGAACACATGGGTGTGACATGTGGAACACTAATAACACACACTGGGTTCCGTAGTCCAGGGCCCGCGTGGAATGTCAGAGGAGATGGATGGGGGAACAGGACGTCCTGGAAGGAGCACAGCACCCGGCTGGCTGCCTCCCACGAAGGTTCTGGCCCTCTTCATTCAGACCACGCTGACCGGTCTGCGCCAGGCACTCTTCCGGTGCTGAGCGAAAATGGCCACCCTTCCCCAACAGAGTGTCTGGTTCAGAGGGGGACAGAACCAGACAGACCAAGAAAGCAAGTAAAAGCAATAGCCCCGATTAGCCATTCTAAAGCCATGATGAACGGATACACATGTTGTGGTCGATCATACAATGAAGATTTATCCAACAATAATTTGCTTTTTTTGTGTGTGTCCAAGTCTCTCTCTGTTTCTCAGGCTGGACTGCGGTGACACGATCATGGCTCTCAGCTACCTCGAATTCCTGGGCTCAAGTGGTCCTCCCACCTCAGCCTCCTTAGTAGCTGGGACTACAGACATGTGCCACCATGCCCGACTAATTTTTTTTTTATTTTTTGTGGAGACGAGGTCTCTCCGGGGCTCAAGCAATCCTCCTGCCTCAGTCTCCCAAATTGCTGGGATTACAGGTGTGAGCCACTGCACCCAGCCCCATTCAGCAAGAAAAAGGAATGAAGGACTGAGACACACTGCAATATGGATGAGTCTTGAAAACAACTCACTGAGAGAAGCCAGTCCCCGAAGGCCGTGTCTTGTATGATTCCACCTAAATGAAATGTCTAGAACAGGCAAATCCATAGAGACAGAGAGTGGACGGGGGTGGGGGAAGGGGACTGTCAGGGGCTGAGAGAGTGGGGGAAATGAATACACGGGTACAGGGTTTCTTCCGGGGCTGAGGGAAATATTCTAAGATGAACACGGTGGTGGTTGCTAACTCATGACTGTCCTAAACACCACTGAGTTATACACTTTAATGGGCGAGTTGTGTAGTATATGACTTAGATCTCAATAAACCTGTTCGATATAAAAAATAGCATGGCAAATAGTGAGGTGGTTGATGAATAAATCAGCCGGGTGAGGTGGCTGTAATCCCAGCACTTTGGGAGGCGGAGGTGAGAGGACTGCCTGAGTCCAGGGGTTCGAGACCAGCCTGGGCAACTTGGTGAGAGCTCATCTCTACAATAAATTCAAACATTAGTCGGGCATGGTAGTGTGCGCCTATGGTTCCAACTGCTTGGTAGGATGAGGTGGAAGGATCACCTGAGCCCAGCAAGTCGAGGTTGTGGTGGCCATGAACGTGCACTGCCCTCCAGTCTGGGTGACGGTGTAAGACTCCTACTCAAAAAAAAAAAAAAAGCTGGGCTCGGTGGCT